GCCTATAACCCACTACTTGAAACACGAAAGGCAGCTAACAGACTCTGCGGCACTCTTGGTGCTCGGCTGATGCTGGGGTGTGGCTTGCTGGGCGAATTGCGACATCGACGACACTCTGCGAGCTAATCTTTGACGATATTCTACAGTGGTATCCCCCCCACGCACGCACGTTATGAATTCGTTTTGCTGGCAACAGTACAGAATGGAAAATCGTGTCGTACGTTTTAGTCTGTATCTCCGGATTGCGGGTGTATACGAGGAAACGATTTCGCACGATGCTAGGCGAATGTACTGTGTACGATTTGAGCTCAAGTTGGTTGAGTTACGTGTAGTAAATCGTAGGTATTCTAAGGCTAGTAGATGACAAATTTCCCTTGTTTATTGAAGTCACACTCTTTCCCTATCTATTATCTACTTCTGATAAGTATAATACACAATAGACTGGAATAATACATGTAATGTATTAAGATGATACCTTTTAGGATACACTCAAGGTTAAATGCGTGATTGATTAGTTTCATTGGTTAATAAATGTTTACACTTCGTCAGAGCAATACCCATGAAAAAGCTTGAGTCTATTCATTAAGGCGCTTGTTAATCATTTAAAGCATGAGATTGCTGCCAGCACATTACACACATCACGTTTAGGTGATCACCCTGTTTTTGTGTGGGAAGATGATTGCGTGGTATCCCATGGCGATTCACGTTGCTGGCCCATTTTCACCCGTTACAGGAGAAGCTAGAAAATGGCACCAGGGAGAGCCACCAGGCGATTACCAGCATGCAGACGGAACTTGGACAGGTGACACAGATGAAAGACGATTTAATAAAATACATACGCGAGCTGGAGCAAAGCAACGATGACCTGGAGCGTGCTAAGAGGTAAGTGCTACGTAAGGTCTATGTCAGGCTAGGAGCTTACAAGTTCATGTTATCACTTGAACAATGCGCTGTCATTAAATCAGCAATAAATATCATATAAATGGGTGCATGGCTCACTTACACACAGACGTTTCTGTGCTGTTGAGGTGTATTATGCCACCAGTTTCCTATTCTCCTTCCTCCAGGCTTTGTCTGTGTATATACTGATCTTACAGCCCTCTAATTATTATATTAAAAATACATGTTATGATATATTATGATAGCGTATTATTGGTTGTGTGGTCTTGTAGAGCAACCGTGGTCTCGTTAGAAGATTTTGAAGGACGTTTGAATCAGGCGATCGAGAGGAACGTGTTTCTGGAGAGTGAGCTAGATGAGAAGGAGAGCCTCCAGATCGCTGTGCAAAGACTGAAGGACGAGACGCGAGGTGGGGAAACAGACATTCTGGTTTATTGCGCAATACCACACACGTTGCACTCAAATTTTTCAGAGAAAAATTGGTCATCTTTTTAGAATGGGATCTTTGGTCTATAATAGCCAATTTTAGTAGTGTGCTCTTGAGTAGCTTTGGGTGACAGAAAAAGGCCTTTCCCATACCCTTCTACCAGAGACGAAGTAGTGCAACAGTAAACAATTGGCAGAAGGGCTACTGTTGCATGCCTCCTAAAGGCATTTTGCAACAGTAAAGGGCATCGCTAGGCAGCAGGCCTAAATAACCAAAACACGTGAATTAATTTAAAATATAGTAGTTTTGCACACAAACACAGTGTGTAGGACGGTCACTATGGCTACGTCGTTTGACAGAATGGCACAATTTCTCGACAAGGGCGACCTTACCCTTCGTACTTTCTCGATATCTATAGGGCATCTACCTACGGGCACAATGCGGATTAATGGACTATAGTGGCAATTATTACTGCAAAAAATTTGAGAAAGGACACAGCACAAGGATACTGTTGTGTGCTCACTATAATGATTGTTTTATTGATCTTGCGGAGTCAGATCTAAAGCAGGAGTTGGCAGTTCACGGGGCTGAGGAAGGCGAGGAGACGAACAATGAACAGATCAAGAAGGAGAAGAATGATATAGAGAAGGAAAACAAGATGATTTCCTCTCCAGTGTCACCGTTACCAAAGACACCTGGAACCCCGCTTATCAAAGGTTTGTTTTCCACGACGTCTACATCATGGTTCGCACAGTCCTTGAAAAGTCCTTGAATTTGAGGGCCGTCTTTGAAAAGTACTTGAATTTAGTAAATGTTGATTTTGTGCTTGAAAAGTCCTTGAATTTCATGAAAATGTCCTTGAATTTAGTAAATGTTGATTTTGTGCTTGAAAAGTCCTTGAATTTCATGAAAATGTCCTTGAATTTTTAGAAAGAATCCTTGCCTGTAATAAAAAGAAATTTTGTACCATCAATAATGTGCAAACTTCAATAAATATTGCGTTAAATGAGCTTAAAAAGCTATAGATACGATAGACAGTTAAATGATGACCACAAATTACAGTAAGTCAGTAAAATCAGTCAGTAAATCAGTAAAATCAGTCAGTAAATCAAGGTATGTTGTAGAAGTGACAGTGTTTAAAAGGGTTTATTAATGTGATCCAGGTAAGTTTTAGAGGTGACAGTGATTAAGAATGGGGTTATTATTAAATTAATCCAGGTATGTTTTGTTCTGTGTATGAATTCCGATAAAAAGTCTTTGAATTTCCGATAAAATGTCCTTGAAAAGTCCCTGAAAACATTTTCAGTTCTCTTGTATGAACCATGTACATGTACATCTTTGATGTTACTCGTGTCGCCTCGCTAGAGAGACTATCTGAAGTAATCTGAGAAAGGTGAAATGTCTCATTGAGTTACGTTTCTGGCTTTCTCTCTTTCTGTCTCTCTTCACTGACCCCATTTTCATCTCTCTGCTTGTCATTCTCTCGCTCTGTCTCTCACCATAGGTGTGAGTTGAGTCTGTCTCTCACCATAGGTGTGAGTTGAGTCTGTCTCTCTTCTGTCTCTCACCATAGGTGTGAGTTGAGTCTGTCTCTCACCATAGGTGTGAGTTGAGTCTGTCTCTCTGCTTGCAGGTTACTCACAGTCAGGCGACCTTCAGAATACTCCACTGACGCCATCTGCACGCATATCTGCACTCAACATCGTCAGTGACCTCTTGCGCAAAGTTGGGGTGAGTGCAGCTCTCAGATTCCTTCTCTTCCACTGTTGCGGTCCCACCAAGAACTGGTGAGAAATATGTCTTTGTAAATCCGTCACTGTGCCTCGTGTTGGGTCCGTTTTCCCCGTCCTTATTTGCAAAAAACACGCCTAAATTATCGTTGCTAATTATTTTTGCTTAGTTGCTTAATTTAATTTGCACCGCTCTTTTTGATCAGTGCCGATGTCAGCTGTGTGTGGTGCTTGTAATATGCATCATTAGTGAGTGGGCCCCTGTCGTGTCAAGGAACCCATGTATTCATGCATGCCTCTAATGGCCGAGTCAATAGCTTGGCACTTGCAAGTTGATTAATGGCTATTTGGTTTGACTACAATTGCTTGCTTAATGAATTAGCTTTAATCGTAAGGCGTGCAGTTAGTATTAAAGTGGTGTGACGTTAAATTAAAAGTTCGATGTAGAAATGATGAAGAAGGAATCCCTGTGTATTAAAATGGATAAACTTTAATATCTGACACACAGTGTAGTCACATCTTGCACAGAGAGGCAAAGAAACGCGTAAACGCGTGTGCTCGCTGCTTACTCCCGCGACCACAACCAGACTCCCGACTCCTATATCTCTCTTCTATCTCCTCCTCAATCTCTCCTAACCTCCTATATATTACCCCCAAAACCCCTACGTCTTGAGCGCACATGTCACTCGTTCTCCCAGACCGCGTCCTACCTCTATTTCACAATGACCCTAGAAACGCCCAACCTAAAACACGTTTATCATTTTCCCTATAACATCAATCTAGCCGCACAAGATGCGCGACACTCTGTCTACATAGACTACCACTAAAACAACCCCCAGCCTAGCCTCGCTGACTAATTCATGCAACATTTGTAAAACATATGTTACAGTGGGTTAAATTGAATAATGTACTTTTAGTACAAGCATTGCGATTTATCAAAGGAGTAGGCGAGTGAGTGCACGATGTCTACCGCAGCTATGTTATTGTTTTTATTTTGCGGATGAGATTTGAGCTTTAACTCGCTAAGCTTGCGTAGAGCAGCAATGATGAGCACAGAGCCACGCTCGCTTACCTTCATTTATTGCATTTTTCCCCTGACATTGTTTTCCTGCCAAAGGTTTCGTTGTGCTTTTGCGCTCCGTCAATCCCGTGGGACTCGCCGCTTCGTATTCCCACGGTTGGTACTGAGAGTGTCTGTCATTTTGTGGCACGAGGCATGCGTGTGTATGCGACACCCTGAGAGAGGGCTGTAGATAACACAGTGCACTTGACGTGTACGTGAGTAACCTTGGGCAGGTTGACGTTACAGCCTTGCATTGCATCTACGACTAACAGCAAGATCTTACAGCATTGCATTGCATCTACGACTAACAGCAAGATCTTACAGCATTGCATTGCATCTACGATTAATAGCAAGATCTTACAGCCTTGCATTGCATCTATGACTAACAGCAAGATGATACTTCTTTGTTGTGTGAACCCTGTATGATCTTCGTATTAAGGACTAACACTTGCAGGAGAGGAAAGGCGGCCGAACGGAAGGTGAATCAGTGCTGGTGATAATATTTCACAGAAATTCTTTTGCCAGAACCATATAGTGGCTTCCGACTTGCGGCTCTTTTCTGTGTTCCTTGTACATTTCATCCCTCCATTTGATGTTCGTTTTTATCATTTTTTTTCTGACACCTCTCTAATCATCTGTCGTGCCTTGTTTTTCTGCCCGTAAACCAGCTTGGTTTCCTATATTCTTGTTTCTATCCATGTTCCTATCTATCCATCTTTTATTGCTATATCAATTATAACCCCAATTCCCTCGTTTTTCCTTCGACTTCCCCCTGTCTCTTCATACCGTTTCCCTGCCTTCTTGCCCTCCCTATGTAGTGTGTGTGCTTTTCGATCTTTCTTGTATTTTTACATCTCTTCTAACTTTGTCTGCCCTAATGCTGAGCACTGCTACGGGTATGTGCATGCGTGTAACGGTTTATTTTACTAATACGCAGACTCTGGAGTCAAAGCTGGCATCGTGTCGACAGTTAGTGGACCAGAACGGCACCCCCGTGCATGCTGCTTACAGGCACCTCAAGGTCAGCCCAGCTAACTCCCCCAGGTAAGCACCGTGCGTGCTTTCTCTTCACACTGCATGCGTGCGCACGCCAGGCTTCAGGGCTGCTGACCTTCAAGGTTGCAAGGTCGTGCCAGGCTCCAGGGCTGTCAACCTTAAAGTCGTAGGGGCGTGCCAGGCTTGAGGACTCCGGGTCTTAAAATTGTAAAGTCATGCCAGACTTCAGAGCTGCCGATCATAAAAGGTCATAATGGCAGGCAAGGCTTCAGAGCTGCTTCCCTTATGATCGTAAGGTTGTGGTAGGGTTCAGGGCTTCCGACGTTAAGGTCGCGAGGTCGTGCGGGGATAACAACTTGTTTCACACGTGTTTAACCTCAAAACACTATCGTTCGTCTAGAGGCTAGTATTTTGTGAAATTTGTGAATGTTCTGTTAATTTAATTAATCTCTATTTAATTCTCCGCTAACAACGTTCTATTACTGTTGTTTAACTTTAACATTTCGTGCACCTAACCATAGAAGTTGTCATGCCATTTTCTTCTAATATTAGTGTCATATGTTGTTAATAGCTGTAGGTGGTAAGTGTCAAACATTCTCTACAGATAACTACATGCAAAATAGTGAACACAAGGTTTCAATGCATACTAAAAATAGTGGTTGGCCATTGTAAAGATTTCTCAGAGCATGTTAAGGATTCTTGAGAGTAATTTTAATTGCCTTCATCCAGTCTGAAGCCAGCTTTCTATACATCGACTCCCTGTTGCGATCTGCCGTTGTGACATCAAAGATACAATGCTCATTAGCAATGAGTTGTGCGTACAGTTAACCTTGTAGTAATGGTCACCTATGTAGAATGGTCACTCGTTTCAAAAATTGCACTTTTGAGGGGTTTCCCCTTAGTGGCATTACATACTTGTTCAACTGTACCGTGCATCGTTCAGCCGTTCTGGCCATGTGAATGTAACACGCTCCTGATCTCACTGGATGCATTCTTGTTGCCAGAGCAAAGCGTATGCACCGAGGGGAGACGCTTCCAGCTAAGATCGTTTTGTGAAGAGGCTATGGCGGCTCGACGTCACATCTGCTGGATGAATGCATCGTACGAGCAATGGGAGTTGGGCATGCACGAGCACATATATGTTAGCTAGGTTTCGACTGTCGTCTCTAGCCTGTTTTATCATTCTGGTTTTGCTGGCTTCGAGTTTGGACTTCTTGCCGTAAAAAAAACGTAGCGTGACTCATCTGTAAAGTGAGTGATTGTTGATGTATGTACAAATCGCGCGGTCTCGCTTCTTCAAAGCAGTTGCAATCATATTGATATGATATTTGGTGAAGTTACCATCTTCCTTAATCAGAAGATTTATCTATCTCGTCACTTCTCGTGTATATTATGCTCATCTAGATGGCTAATTTCTAGATTTGCTATGAAATAATTGGGCCATTATCTAGATGGCTGTTGTAGATTAGCTCATTTATATTGTCTAACTAATTTGGATTTTAATTCTAGTATTGTGACTTTCTTGTGCAATGTTAGTTAATTAACGTTATTTTCTTCTTTCTTTCCACTATTTCTGTTGCAACCACAGGGCCACGTTTCCAACCACTGATGGTCCATTTCGGGAATACTCCTTCATATGTGGTTTGCACATTTTAATTGCTAGCAGTGGTTTGTGAAGATCGAATCAATACAAATATGATATTTCTGAATTTCCTTTTCTGAAATATTCTTGTTTTTCATGAGCTACTACTGCTGGTGTTGCTACTACAACTACTACTACTGCTGCTGCTGCTACTAGTACTATTATGAATAGTTCTACTACTACTACTAGTACTGAGTCTACTACTAATAATGATATGTAAACCAATCATTAATATAAGAGCAGTGTTAATATTATCCAAATATGGTAATTTTAAATAGAACCCACATGTTTTTGTAATTGGCAAAATAATTACAATTAGTTGGGTAGGGTAACTTATTTATTTGCTCGTTGGCCGGACAACACGTCTTGAAGCCACAACCTGTATAGAGGTATATTTATTTTCAGCATTTAGGTTAGAAAAAGGCAATTGGATGTTTGAATAGCTGCATTGCGTGCAGTGCAGATGTAAAGATGTATGCATTAGTGGTTTCAGGTAATCTTGTCTCACGTATTGTTGTATATTCTGGGAATGGGAAGCGTTGAGATGTCATCGACTAGAATGGACTCAATTATTTTAACAGTAGTTGGAAATTTGGATCCTCATTAAATAATAGAGTTTAATGTGTAATATCATAATTGAACTGATAAGTCTAAGCACTTGGCTTAATGTAATACATTTTAGTCAGAGACAGTGTTTATATAATATAGATAGTAATCAGAAATAAGGAGATAATGTATAAAACTCCTGCTGTGTCATCAGTATAGAGATTTAGAATATAAAGCATGATTGATATAACCGATGTTTATTTATTTAAACAGAGTAAATTTTGGAGCATCTGGTCTTGATCACAGTTCACGTACTCAGTTTTACATAAATTACAGTTCATAAAAATTGTTTGTTTAAATGAATAGACATCACTTAATTCAATCCTGCTTTATATTCAATATATATATAAACACTTACACACTCACAGTGTGACATATATAGTATATAATGTGAGTCGACTGTCATTGTCAGCAATATGATAGGTCTTTTGGTCGTTTAACAGTGGTTTCAAATGGGTTCTCACAACGATGTGGTAATGAATATCCTGGCGTGGTTCCAGCGTTCTTGACGAGCGCGTGTGCGGGTATTATTACCGGAACAAAGCATCAGTAGAGGGCTTATAATTCTATGTACTAAGCCATCCGCAGCTTCGGGTGTTTGTGCGTGAAGCTGTAGGGAACAAAGTGGATGCAAGTCAGGTGTTTACGGATTATTAGGGTTGGCCTGTCACTAGAAACGTCGTCAGGGCTATAGCTTCCAAGAGGGACGAAAAAGGGGTTAGTGCCCCCTCCCACCTAGATTGTGGAGCAAAGTGAACTAATGAGCTTTATAAATAAATGTAAATAATCCCAACGTGAGTGTCAATAACAATATAACAAAATTATCCTTTCAGTCTAATCTCATCTTACGTGTGGTTTATTTCTGAAAAATATTTGCCATTACTCTGCTGGTCTCAAAATTTCGCTTTTGTATGAAACTGAATCATTTTCTTAGTCACCTTCTGACTAACTGCGTGCTACAGAATGACCGCAAGTGTTTTTCGTTGATCGTTCTCCGACAGTGTCTGATGGCAATGTTCCTGACTTGCCTGACAGGGTATAAACCTTCTCATTGAGGTGGGAGGGCTGTAGCCCTGCTGCCCCCTCTGGTGTCACCCTTAGCTACGGCCTTGTGATCTAGCCGTACTTCTGCCCCTGGATATCCATTACCGCTTCCTATATGCTGCTAGTCTTGACATGAACGTTTAGATATTAGTGTGTGTTCTACTGCGTATATAGTTGTGATGCATCTGTCCGTTTGCAAATTTTAATGTCGTGTGGTTTTCAATAGACATGGTTAAAATAGATGTGGCTGACAGTGGACTGCATGCAGCAGAACCCTTCATGCACTGTATGCTGTATGTATGAGAGTAGCGAACTCACTGCAATATTGGCTGCAAATTTAGGCCACTTTTGGGATGGCGCCAACTGTCACCATTGCTAATTTCACTTGGAGTGATCATGAGGTCGTTAATTAGCGAGTGAGCAGTGGAGACATTATTAGTTATGCATACGATGAGCCGTGACGTCAAAAGAAGCTATATGACGGTCATATAGCTTCTTTTGACGTCAGGGCTCATCGTATGCATAACTAATAATGTCTTCACTGCTCACTCGCTAATTAATGACCTCATGATCACTTGATGACGTCGCCAGAGTGGCGACGTCATCATGTTTCACGCTGGTCGATGATGTCATCATTTATGGTACTGAGAGTAATGAAATCGAGCTGGTAAATCACATGAAGCTCTACTGATTGATACGTTGTACTTTAATTTGACTGCAACATACCCAAAATTAAATTGTATCATACTGACATGAAAATGAAAATATTTCACTACGAATTATATTTGCTTTCGATTATCATTTATTTCGTTTTTTCCTTGCACACGGTGGTTTTGCTGTGACATGGAACATGCAATAGATATTATACCCAATGGCTTGTATAGAACCTGCTGGGCAATAATATCGATTTATTACGTGAAGCAAATGCAATTATACGCGTGTGCACTGCTGTGCTGAACAACCCAAAACGATCTATAAAATAGAACAACGAACACTTACCACAAATTGCTGAAAGGCACGGGTGCCCCTATCAGAGTATTTTACCTTGTTCAAGTCGGGACAAAGAGTTACGATACACATGGCACAGTTTGCGAACTTGTGCAACCAATGCTGTGTATTAAAAACACTACAAAGAAAGAAAGTGAGAGAAAAATAAACAGCTTTCATCTGCAAATGTGCATTAACTGAGTCATGAAAATATTTATAATAATTAATCTCGGGACTAGAACAACAATATACAACCATATACTTGTCACAAATAACCATTTTCGTAAATGCATTGTTAGATTTTATATTGCATTTAACAAAAAATAGTGGGTGTTTGATGTTACAGATTTTACATAGAGATTATAACGGGTTATAGATGTCATAAGACATGACTGTAATGTAATCTCAATAATAATAATAATACGCACGAGTGCGCACGCACGCACACACACACACCCACACACTAAAATTAAACGTTGTACACATATAACCATTACTGACCAAGTGATTTTTATGAACATTGATGTTTTCAAATTAAGTATACTGTGTGATAGCTCTACCAGTCTACCACTAGATCTCTTCACCTAGCTACAGATGTGCATCGGTGCAGGGTCACATTTTTGTTGAATTAATTGTGATACATAAAGCTCTGATGTATTAGCCAATGACAAACATTTCTGCATTGCAGCTGTTTAGTGTTTACAGGCTACATCGGTAAGTGGTTACAAAAAAAAGCAGTACTATGATCAACACCTTCCAACCCTGCCATAATCTTACATTTGTCATACACGACACAATACCAAAAAAGTAACAAGTTGTTTGTCCCCCGGGAAAAATAACCACTAATTTACCTTGCGTTGTAAACAAGAGAAATTACTGTATACACGCCTACAAAATTTCCCCTTGATAACCTACGAAATAATGTAATTTCTGTAACTTACATTTTAGTATATTTTTCCGCTGGCATCAATTCTCATGTATAGTGTTTTCTGTGCTTCACAAATTGCCACAGGAGATCAAAAATTTATGAACACGTCATTTGTCTTCAGGCAGTTTTGTAGTATCATAAGATGACTAGAGATGCACAGAACTGACCTATATTCAATCTATCGTAATAAAATATGTATTTGTATATAAGCAGACGCTGTCAGGATGAAATACCCCTGGACCTTAATACTGGTAATATATTCATTTTAACCTAAAGTCTCACACACTTGTGCAGCTTTTAGTGAAAATTGGTTACGTTCTATATATGGTGATACTTCACCAGGACTCATAACACGTGAATAACTCATGAGCTGCATAACACACGGTGAATAATAATTATTCATATGCTGCCACTACTTCCACTGGTAGAGCAGAGGATAAATATGCCATACCCATCCAATGCGATCCATTACCTGGCGGCTGGCACTACATGAGCGAAGTCCATATAAACCACTACAATGGACGGATGTTTAACAGTTAGTAGAAATGAGCTGCTATATGACACCATGAAGGCCTTAACCAAATTGTGTTGGCACTTTCCACCGGTGCCAATTATATACTTCCACATGGTAACAACAACCCAATAGAGCAGCAAAATCATCAGGAGTTCGTGAATAGAAACTCTATTGATGTGCTCCTCATATAATGATATCTACGTTTTAAGGCAACCCATATAATAACGTCTTAGGAAATGCATCGTTACACGTTTACTATCATAGCAAAAAAGCAAAGCACATTTGGTTTTGTACTAGCTAACATCTGACGCTGCCGTTCTGCCTTGTCTTGATGACCTTCTTTGACACACATTATCTTGATATTGCCATAATCTTAATATTGCCACATTAATATTGTCTGGAGAGAGCAGGAGTCGTCGCCATGTTGTTTCCACTGACCACTTTCCGTTCCATACAACCAGCTCAAGACCGTGCCATTTTCTAAAAGAAAATAATTGCGAATATTTTAATAGAATTTCAGCTCACGTTGTCCTATTTGATCATGCACAAACCTCTGAGCCAGCCAGTCAGGAATCCAGGTGAATCAGGTACACCTCAGTATCGTATTAGCAGTGTTCCATTTTATGCAGTATGCAAATTAAAATGAGTGTTATGCACTGCATGTTGGCTAGGTTTTAATTATTTTTCCACTTGGCAGCAAATCAAAACTGATATTAACTGCATAAATCGAAGACCCCCAATTCTCTCCTCGGATACCAGGGCCGTAGTGGCCGCCACGGCAGCACGGGACTGCCGTGGCATTATTTTGACAAAAAAAAATTGCAGGGAACCAAGGAGCTGACTGTTATCTGACTGGACTGTCTGATATTACTATTAATACTACTAATACTAATAATCAATTAGAGGTGTTATATCCATAGAAATAATATAGATAACCATATATATATTATTTCTATGGTTATATCAGTGCTCTAAGATTTGGAATGTGTATTTAATATGACAATGTGCCTACATAAGGTATTGTGATTCAAATTCAAACTTCAAAACATACAGATGTACATAGTGAAAGTATAAATGCAGATTGAAAATAGGCTTATTCTTCATAATTATGTACTGATACTGATAGTATATACAATTTTGTAAACAATGTTTTATTAGTTATCATACTCATAATATATATTTGAGAAACTTTAGTCAAAACATCAGCTTTAGCTACATTCATTTTTGAAATTTACAAATTGACCTTTTAAAATGATCAGAATTTGTTGCTTTTAACATAGTCTGAAAATGCAGGAAATGCCATTTCCAGGCTATAAATTTCAAAAAATTTCTGGGGGAGGGCACCCAGACCACAGGCACTTGGGACAGAGTCAGTAAAAACTAATATGAAAATAATATGAACACACATTCACAAATAGGCCCTACTACCGTACCTCTCAATTACAGTTCCACTGTTGGATCACTGTATATCAACTTTCCTTCATAAAAACCTATGTAAAAACTAACGCCGAACGCTCCTGCACTCGCCGCTGCGAGTGTGCTGTGTCGCCATGAGAATATATATATAAAGTTATATATATTATCATTGTAATGGCGCCACAGCACACTCGCAGCGGCGAGTGTGCGGGAGCGTTTGGCGTCAGTTTTTATGAAGGAAAATTGATATACAGTGACACAACAGTGGAACTGTAGGCCTAATTCAAAGGTACGGTAGTATTTGTGAATGTGCTTTAATATTATTTTCAGTTTTTACTGACTCTGTCCCAAGTGCCTGTGACCCAGACCTCCCGCATGGGCTTCGCGACTGCGGCGTTCGCCATGTGTTCCAGCACACACCATAACCGCCACTTATGCTATTACTACTGGGTGATCCTACATTTTTCTGCAGTAGCACATTTTCATGATTTTAGGAGGCCACTACAGCCCTGGATACAATATTTGCTTTCCAGCAGTTTTCTTCTCTCATCCATGTTCTTATTGGACTTAACATATATGTTTTATAGCAGAGTTTCTCATTGGTTCATATTCGTTCTCTGATTGGTTATATGTGACCCACTCCAGCAAAACCAGGATTAAGTAGGAAATTCTACAAATTGAGTTATGTGCATATCTGAATAGATCATTTAATTACCTTTAAAATGATATATAATATTTGGCTATATCTAAAGAATTGACCGATCTACAGCAATCTGAAGATCGGAAACCGACTTATTCCGGAATATGCAGCATTTGAGATAAAGCGTTCCGGGTAATCAACCCAGTCGGGGATGAGCGGTCAGGGGCCTTTAAAAAAGTTATTTTTTATTTTTATTTTTTAATTAAAAA